AATGAAGCGAGTCACAATAATTTTAATCTATCATCCTCTGGGAGGATTTGGATTAAATGGAATTCTAAAAAGATCAATTTTTCCCCCACTCTTGTCACCCCTCAGATGATCAATGGGATTATCACTGCCGGTTCCCAATCTTCATTTCAGATTACTTTTGTCTACGCCGCTAATAAAGCCACGGATAGGAAGGATCTTTGCTCCTCTATTAATATGGTTGCTCCCCCCTGTGATACTCCTTGGGCGGTTTTGGGGAACTTTAACTGCTGTCGGTATGCTAATGAGAAATCTGGAGGTTCGGCTCTTCATCATTCCAACTTGCTTGATCTTAACAATATGATCTTTTCAAATAGTCTGGTGGATCTACATTCTGTTGGTAACTTCTTTACTTGGTTTAATCAGCAAGCTGTTAATCCTATTTTTATTAAACTTGATCGGGCTCTTGTTAATGAGGAATGGATGAAGAAGTTCCCTTGTTCTTTTTGCTCTTTCCAGAGTCCGTCCTGTTCGGACCACTCCCCGATTATTCTGCACCCGGGAGGCTCTTTTACCTCTCATCACCATTTTATGTTTAAGAACTTCTGGACTAAACATGATAGATATTGGGTTTTTTCTTTTAAATGCCTTTTCTATGCCTTTAGTAGGAAACCCTATATCTCATTTATGTAATGTTCTTAAACATATCAAAGGTTCCATCAAAAATCATGACTGGGCTAATGCTAATTCTCTATATGCACAGCTTGATATCCTTCAAGTTAAACAACATAATCTTTTAGATCTGCTTCAGGTTAATCAATCTGATGTTTCTTTGGTGGCTTCTCTCAAGCACATTAATTCTCAAATTTCTGAGGTTTCGGCTATGAAGGCAAGTTGGATAATTCAAAGGGCTAAACTTAACTGGCTTCATTATGGCGAGGATGATCTTAAATTTCTTTATGCCAAAATCAGGAGTAGGAGGAACAGCACTAAATCTGTTGTCAATTTATTCTCTTGCAATCCTAATTCTGAGAGGGGAGAGGTGCTCCAATCCATTATCTCCCATTTCTACGTGCTGTTTAATCCTCTCCCTCCCTCTTGTGTTAATGTGGATCTATTTCCTATTGGGACCTCTATTCCAAATTATTATGCTAATTTGCTCACAGGTCCTATTTTAGATGATGAGATTAAGGCTGCTGTTTTCAAAGGGTCTTCTAAATCATCTCCCGGCCCGGATGGTTTTAATTATCACTTCTACAAAAGTGGTTGGCATATCATTGGTCCTCTTGTTAGTAATGCTATCAAATTTTTCTTTCTCAAAGGTTATCTCCCTAGTGGGATCAAAGCTACTGCTCTTGCCATCATTCCCAAGCATCGCAACGCCACTTCTATTTCGGATTACAGGCCTATCTCTTTATGCAACACCTTTTACAAAATTATTGCTAAGATTATTGCAAACAGGATGAATCCGATTATGCCTATCATTGTTAAAGATACTCAAGCTGGTTTTGTTAGAAATAGAATATCTACTGATAGCATTCTTCTTGCTAATGATATTCTTTCTTTGGTAAACAAGAGAGGGGTTGGTAACATGTTTTGTGCCAAGATTGATATCAAAAAAACTTTTGATTCAGTTTCTAGGGATTTCCTACTTGCTCGTATGAATCAAAAAGGTTTCCCTAAACCTTTTATTAAGTGGATAAAAGCTTGCATTTCTAATTTTAATTTCTCTGTGGTCATTGATGGTGCCTTGGAAGGCTTTTTCCCCTCTTCTGCGAGGCTTAGGCAAGGCTGTCCTCTTAGTCCCTACCTCTTCTGTTTAGTGATGGATGCTTTTTCAAATCTTATGGAGGAAAGAGGTTTCAAAGGTTTTAAAGATGGTGATTTTCATTTATCTCATCTCTTGTACGCGGATGATGTTCTTATTTTTGGAGAAGCTACTGTTGATAATTGTAGGACTCTCTCTACAATTCTTAATGATTTTGCCAATGCTTCGGGTTTAAATATTAACTTCGACAAAAGCTCTGTTATGTTCTCTAAGAACCAAAGAAACCAGGATTTGCTGTGCCAAGCTCTTTCTATCTTTAATGTCACCTCTAAGATCTCATATCTAGGAATTCCTATTTCCTTCAACAGATTAAAGGTGGCTGATTTTTTGCCTTTGATGGATAACCTGCTTAAAAAATTTACTGGTTGGAAAGCTGACCTTTTGTCCTTGGCTAAGAGACTGCAGTACTTAAAGTTTACTATCCAAAATACTATAGCCTATTGGATCAGAGGTTCTATTTTACCAAAGACTGTTTTTAAGTTTTTTAGAAAAACTTGTTCAAAATTTCTGTTTTTTGGAGACATTGCTAGCATGAAAAAATTGCATATGGTTTCTTGGGACACGGTTTGCATGCCTAAACAAAAAGGGGGCTTGGGCATTCCATCTTTAAGCTCTCTTATTTTTGCTTTTAACTGCTCGGTGATTTACCGCATGTATAACTGCCCTTCTCCATTGTCATCTTGGTTAACTGAGCATTATGTCTCTCCTTGGCGCCCTTATACTCCTAAAGCTAGTAAATTTTGGATTGTTGTTTGTAAAACTGCTGCTGTTGTGAAATCTCATTTTAGATTTGTTATTACACCTAATGCTCCCATTTCCTTGCTTTGGGATCATTGGTGTAATAACCTGACTCTTACGGAATTTGTGGGAGGTGTCTCCCTGGATTGCTTTTCTCTGCCGTTATTGAGGAACTATATTTCTGGCTCCTGTTGGTCTTTGCCTGATGACATTTCTATGGCTTTAAAAACTGCTGTCTGCAGTTTTGAGATACACGACACTTCTTTTGCCTGTTTGTTCTGGAAAGATTGTAAAAAGGCTAAATTCAGAGATTTTCTTGATGAATACTACAGCAACCTATCTGATAGTTGTTGGTATAAATTTGTTTGGCACAAAAAGAACATTCTGAAAAACTCAGTTTATGTTTGGCTTGCTCTTGTGGGAGGTTTGAAAACTCAGGATGCTTTAAGATTAAGGAAAATTCAAGTGCAAGAGACTTGTTCTCTCTGTTTTTCGGCTCCTGAAAGTGTTAATCACCTTTTCTTGGAGTGTCAATACACTTTTTCTGTTTTGAATGCCATCATTCCTGGAACAAAGAATTTTCTTTTTAGACCCACTATTATGCAACTTTTTCAATGGCTGAAATCTGAGAATCTTCTCTCCCCTCTCAAACTGGATTTCAATCTGTTATCAATCTGCTGTATCATCTATCATTCTTGGAGAGAAAGGAATTTTAGAAGATTTGGGAATGATTTTCGTTGCCCATCCTCCCTTCAATACTATGTTAAAAAAGTGGTTATTGAGAAAGTCTCTAAATGGAGAAATTCGGCTGCATTGCTGGAAAATTTTGGAAATGAATAGCGGGTGTATCTGGTTCTTGATGCAATTTTGCTGGAAGGGTGATGTTAACCAGGACGATGATGACGCTCCACTTCATGTCGCTATCTGTCTCCCCCTTGGATGGCCTGCGGGCAACCGGGGGTTATGCCCGTTCTTATGTTGATTTTTCTGAGTCCTGGTTAACTTATTTACTGGAGCTTGGATTCGGATTCTCATTTGTTCTTTATGGCTGCAGTTTTGCTCTGTTTTTTGCTGCTCTCTTTTCTCAGGTGCAGTGAAGATTGGCTGGATGGTACCTACTTTTTTGGTTGCTCGTTAGATGATGGCACCTTCCTATTTCTGGCTCTTGACCTATGGCGACCTGGACATCTTTTGGACCTGTAGCCTCTTTTTGTCTTCCTTGAGTTATTTCTAATTGTAATTTGGTGGTATAGTTGAGGTTTTTTCTGACTTTGCATAAGTTTTTGTTTTATTTGCTTATGCAAGGTTTACTTGCTTTTATTCCCCATTACACTTGTAATCTCTTTTGCTTTAATATAAGGGCTTAGGCCCCAAAAATTCCCAAAAAAAAAAAAAGAAACAATATAAAATTCATAACTTTCTGATTATGCTACTTTTTGCAGAAGTAACTGTTGTTAATATTTTCAAATATGAAACTCCCAGCATAAAGAGCGCCTCTTGCACAATAAGATGTGTAAGATTAAAATTTTATTATCAAATCCAACATATTAAAGCAAGCTAGTAAATTGTGAGAACTAAAACGAATATGAACAATTAATGTATGGAGCATGTCTTAATTGCGTAAATAACAGAGTTTTAACATTCAAGCCAATGCAACCAACAAGCAAAACATTAATATTTTTATGTCTCAAAAGTGTGACGTTCATCAAAGATCATAATTTATCAGCTATTTTTAAATACCGCTATGCTCGGTTTCAAAAAACCAATTGAGCTTTTCCCTCTTTATTCTTTCCAGGTTTTATTTCTTCATTCTATGATGACAGACATACAAGTTTCAAACAATTCCGAAAGAACTGCTAGCAGAATTTTTGTATGATGGGCAGCTGATACAATTAACGAGAGAGAAGCAATAGGTTTATGGCAGCCTAACAAAGGATGGGGCAACTAGACTATAATACCAAAAGAGAAATTCAACCAAATTACTAACCTAAGCAGTTCCTATCTCCAGCCCAACCCAAGTGTTAGAACCGTTGCTCTTCTCCAGATTTGAAATCTGAACAAGTTAGAGATTACTATCATCAGATCCAATTTATCAATGTCAGTAACTATTTTTATTAGCTTTTGTATCTATAACGTTCGATTTACAGTAACCGTAAGTCTAGGGCAATAACTCTTCCGAAGATCTATTATCCAACTTTCTCGCTCAGCAGCCGCTCAATCAACCGACAGCGTCGCTGCCTTCTTCCAGCACGACAGCACCTGGATCAATCCTAAACTATCGCCACCGATTAATTACTGTAAACGGCGTTGCCTTCTCCAACAAATGCCACGCCCTCATCACACAAAAGGCAAATTTCAGATCTCGCCAGAAAACGAAACGAATAAAATGTTCACAAGCAAACCGCAGAAAGAAAATCGAGGCATCAAAGAAAAAATTCACCGCGGATAAGGAACTTACCACCATAGCGCCAGACAGCAAACTGCAAAAGAAAACGGAAAAAAAAAAACTCTTTTCATCACCGAGGTAGTAAGAAATAGAGAAAACTCTGCGATTGAAAAGGTGGAGGGGGGACGAATGTAGAAAAGAAAGGTGAGAAAACGAGTCTTTACAAGGGAAATCAGCCTTGATAGTGCTCATAAGATCGGTATGCCATAGGTTCCGGTAACTCTGCCGGAGCTGCATCTTGTCGAGGTAAGCCTGAGACGCCATGACTGAGCTTCAACCCCAGTCGCCGCCGGCGATCAAGGATCAAAGACTGGCCAAATAACAATCAAGATCCGCAGAACAGCGGCCAATAACCTTCCCGGCTTAAAAAATGAGGCTTCTGGAAAACGAGAAGACGTCAACTTGGACCGTGGTTACGAAACATCTACGGGCTTCCCCGAAATTAATGGAGGGAAAGACTCGACGGGGCCTAGCGTGGACTATGGATGGGAAAAGGAGTTAAAAGACATTTATGCAATGAACCTCCGACAAAAAAACAGCGACTCGAAACGCGTAGCGATATTAATTTTTTTTTTTTTTATTGAGCCCAATAAACTATATATATACCATGGTCAATATCATTGTTCAGCTACCAAATCGAAGAACATCGAGCAAGCCACCAATAACAGTAAGCACACCAGATTTCTCTCAGGGGAAAAGAGGGCAAGAAGAAGCAATGTATGACATTTAGTAGGGGTATCAAAACGGGTCAACGGGTCGGATTTGGGTCCAATCCGGCTTGACCCGGGTCCAAACGGGTCAACCCGAATCCGGCCCGGTTTTACAAACGGGTCAAGTTTCCCAACCCGAACTTGACCCGCATGGGTTGTCGGGTTGACCCGACCCGACACAGGTACGATTTGATTATTAGCGATTCAGTGCGTGAGAGGGAAACTGGGAGAGGGCCGAGTGGTTTGGAGAGATCTTTGAGAGCGTACGGCTTGGGGAGATCGGAGAGATCGAGAGAGCTCCTTCCACCTATCGGTCTGCCTGTGTGAGCCTCAGCATCTAGTCCGAAAGAGATCATAGAGAGCTCCTGTGTGCGGCATGGAGAAACCGGAGAGAGCAGAGAGCTCCTGTCGTGAGCCACTCGAATTTTTTCGTCTTCCTGCATGCGGCTCAGAGAGATCGGATCATCGGAGAGAGAACGGACTATGGGAGAGGGAACAGAGCCGAGCGAATCTGCTTGTGTGCGTTGTGCGAGTAGAAGGAGTTCACCTTGGTCTTCCTTACATTTTTGCTTGTGAAGGAGCAGCAGTGGAAGCCCGAAGGAGCAACAGTTCAGACATTCGCACTCACCACATGAGACAAAGTCGCAGACTATGAAGCATTTTTAGAGTTCGGGTCAAAGTCGGGTTAACGGGTTGACCCGAACCCGAACCGATTTTTCAAACGGGTCAAAAATTGCAACCTGAACCCAACCCGTTTGTTAAACAAGTCAACCCAAACCCGAATTTTTCGGGTCGAGTTCAGGTCGGTTATCGTGTCGTGTCAACCCCTAGCATTTAGTATTGTTGAGTCATAGAGTATCCTCGGCTGTAGAAAAATATAAAGTTAACGTCTTATCTTTATACGAAGATCCGGCATACAATCAAATAAGAGAGAGTGTGTAGTATTCATAGGAGACATCAAGATTTTTATGTTGAAAAATGTAAAAAAGGGAAAAAAAATATAGGGCCTAGCCCAATTTGAGCCCAATTTGAATGAATCAACTAGTATTTGCAGTTGATTTATAAATGGGGCCCTTCACTGGAAGGAAGACCATGACTTTATGTAACAAATATACATCATATAGAGTGTGTTACATTGTGAAAATAGGAAGAATCATTGTTAACGTGTTCTCTTGGTCGGAAGGGCCATAATCGGTGGGTGACGAAGGTTAAAAGGACTATAGTTGGTGGCCAATGTAAGTTGGAAGAACAATAGTCGGCGGGCGATGGAGGTCATAAAGATCATTGTCTGGTGACAGAGGTCGGAATGACTATAGTTGGTGGGCGATTTAAGTCGAATTGACCGTAGTCCACGAGCGACGGAGGTCATAAAGACCATTGTTTGACGAAGGAGGTTGGAAGGATGGTGTCAGGTAGAAGTCCAGCTTCAGATATAGGTCCGACGAATGTCCGACGATGGGCAGAAGTCCGACGTTTGGTAGAAGTTTGTTGATGGACAGAAGTATGGCGTCATATAGAAGCTCAATGAAAGTCCAACAATGAGTATAAGTCAGGTGACGGGTAAAAATCTGGAGACAAGTTGAGGTGTGGCGTCAGGTAGAAGTCTGACGTCAATCTTCAAGTCTGACGTTAGTCTTCAACCGGACAAAACTCTGGTCTCAGATGGCATATGGGCAGAACTCTAGCGTCGGTAGGCTACCATGTGGAAGTCTGACATTGGTCGAGGAAGAGTCTGGTAATAAGAGAGCTCGCTTTCTTTTCCTTTTCTTCCTTTTATTCTTGCTTAATTCTGGTGTCAGTTGGTAATCGGGCAGAAGTTCGACGTCGATTGGTTGTCGGGTGAAAGTCCAGCGGTGGTCGAGGAGTCTCTTCCTTCTCTTCTCTTCTTACTTGAGCCTCCTGCCCCCCCCCCCCCACCCCCATCTTCTTCAGTCTCTTTCCCTCCCCCCCCCCAATTTGGGGGTCCAAATTATGGATTGAACCTTCCAAATGAGCTTTGAGTCTTTAATTGGGACTCAACTGGGCTCGGATTGAGTCGAATTTGGTGTCGTTGGGTTCGTATTTCCAAGACGTTCAGTTCGACTATAAGTTTGTTGAAATCGGAGTTCAAATAATATCTAATTTAATTTTTAAAGTTTCCAGCTTGATTTTTAACTCGAGATTCGTGCTCGATCAACATAATTTGTAGATGATATATCAAGTGTTTTAACTAATCATAAACATTATGGTATATTTTGAAATCCTGAAGGTATACGTATTATCTTGTTTTGTTGTTCTTTGTTAAGTTTTCAAACTTGTTCTAGTTTATGGCATATCAAGAGGACTAATTATTCTATGTGGATGCCGAACGTCGTCCGGAGACCAACTAGAATGTGTCACATCACCTTTGTGCTCGGTACCGCGGCTCGGTACTGCACCTTAGTACCGCTGACCTATTTTTTCAAACGCGTCGAATCAAGGAAACGGGACCCGACCCGTTTGCGAAACAGGTTGACCATAACCCAAAATTTTTAGGTCGGGTTCAAATCGAATTTTCGGATCTTGTCAAATATTGACACCACTATGTATGACCCAATTGATTAAATAAAATGTGACGAAAAGAGTTATGATATGACATTAAGTGCGATTTTCACAAGATAGAGATTAATGTAAGATCAACTTCCTAATATTAAAATATGATGACATAATCATTCAATAGTCACATGCATATAAATCAAGTTAAGTGTAATATGAACTAAGCCGGTCTATAAGCAAATAAAATAGAATGGCATTTATGTGATTTGGCCTAACTCAGCCTATATTCATGCTTGAGCACACTCTTGATTTAAATTCCACTGCCATCACTCATTTGTCAACAAGCTGACGAAAAAATCATCATGCCTACTTTCATCATATGGGAAGAGCACCTTCCTTTGAATTATGGATAAGGAAACCCCTCTAAGCTAACACTCTTCTTCTTCTAAAATCTTCCAAACTTTTGATGGAGAAAACAAGGATTTTTTTCCTTTTGATGAAAATTTTTACTCTTTGAGATGATAAACTTGTATGCTAAAGTTACTCCTAATATTTTATTTTATTTTAAGTGGAATATTTAGCAATGTATTATATATATGGGGGATGAATGGAGATTAAAATTAGTTCAAAATATTAATTTTCAAATAACTATGGATTCAATCATAATATATATTGATATATCATCAAAAAATGATCTTGAATGGGCACGAATCTTGAGGAAAAATCAAGTTGGAAACTTTAAAAATTAAAATTGGGATAATCTGAACTCTGATTTCAACAAACTTATAGTCAAACTGAGATTCTTGGAAATACGAACCCAACGACACCAAATTCAACTCAATCCGAGTCCAAATCAAGGACCGGAAGCATTGTTGGAAGGTTTGAACCACAATTTGGGTTATCAAACAATTTCCAAACTTGACAATCTTATAATCGAATCGAGCGGCTCGACGACACAAATCCAACGAGCCCAAGATCGCTAAATTCCGACATCATTAAGACCTTCAAATGTCTGACGAATGGCACACGATCAAGGGATTCAATATTGGTCGTCCATCCAACCACTCCCCATTATGTCTGATCTCTCATCTATTTACATATCATGCCACTCCATAAATTTATAAATAGACCCCTCATTTCTCTTGAGGGGGACCCAAGCAAGAATAAGAAGGAGAAGAGAAGAGAAGAAGGATAGGAGGGAAGTAACTCCTACTTGACCACTGCCGAAATTCTGTCCGACTCCCACGGGCGCCGGAATTCTGCCCAACTTTAACAGGACATCGAAATTCTTCCAAAGTAACAACGGAGCTCTACTCAACTCCTAAACTCTGCCCAAGTGATGCTAGAATTCTGTCCAAGTGACTCCAAAATTCTGCCCGAAGCCCAAGTGACGTCGAAATTCTACCCGATGCCCAAGTAACGTCGAAATTCTGCCCGACGCCCAAGTAACATCAAAATTCTGTCGGACCTTCACTCATCACTAAATTTCTATATGACGCCTTCCTTCTGGCCTTCGTCACCCGCCGACTACGGTCATTCTTACTTACGTCGCCCACCGACTATAGTCCTTCCGACCTTCGTCGGTCCTTTCAACTTACGTTGCCCACCGACTACAGTCCTTCCGACCTTCGTCGTCCACCGACTAAGGTCCTTCTAACTTACGTTGCCCACCGACTATAGTCCTTCCGACCTCTGTCGCCCTCCGACTATGGTCCTTCCGACTTATGTCGTCCACCGACTACAGTCCTTCCGACCTCCGTCGCCCGCCGACTACGGTCCTTCCGACTTATGTCGTCCAGTGACGAATGGTCCTTCCTTGCAAACAAACACATCAACAGTGACTCTTTGTATGGTTTTTCCCTAGTTTGAATGAATCCACTAGTATTGCAGTTGATTACAAATGAGGCTCTTCCTTGGAGGAAGGCCTTAGCTTGATGTACATCTTACAGAGTACATTACATGATGTGAATACAAAGAGTCATTTTTGAAGTGCTCGTTTGGTAGGAAGGACCGTTTGTTGGTGGACGACATAAATTGGAAGGATTGTAGTCGACGGGCGACAGAGGTTAGAAGGACTGTAGTCGGTGGGCGATGTAAGTCGAAAGGATCGTATTCAGAGGGCAACAGAGGTCGGAAGGACTGTAGTCTGTGGGCAATGTAAGTTAGAAGGACTGTAGTCGGCGAGCGACGAAGGTCGGAAGGACTATAGTCGGTGGGCAATGTAAGTCGGAAGGACCATAGTCGGCGGGTGACGGAGGTCTAAAGGATTGTA